CATTCCACACCTCCCTACACCATACCAATTCAGCATAGCATGTGTCGCTCTCCATACTTTCTAGTAATTTTCTTGGTAGAAATTCACAGACGGGAGAATATGCGAGTGTTTCTTATCTGTAAAATTTTAACATGCATTTCTTTTCATAAACACGTGTGCCACTAGTGTGGTGACTTGTCAAGACTAAGGAGGGGTTGTAAGATTGGCTAATGAGAACAGATGTCATCATCTGAGGATTGCATGCATCGAGATTTGAATTCCATATTTGTCAAAATTTTCATAACTTAGAAACTAATATAGAAAATATCTCAAATGCAACTTACTTTGTTTTCAATAAGCTTATCGAGTTCTTCCTTGAGTTGCAAATAGCATTCCGCCAAATTAGAGTCCATAAAAAATTCAATGTAGCCATGTAACATTTTCAAATGACCAGCCTGAAAAAGAGATGTGAATGGTCTTAGACACTAGAACTAGAACAAAGTAAATCTTTCCAAATGAGTGCAGACTTAGGATAGTTTACCTGTATACCACGATTTACTGCACCTCCAAAAAGAATCAGCATAGAATCAGATATGCCAGTGGAATCTCGTAAGAAAACCGTATTGACCTTCACTTTCTCGCCAAAGACCAGCCACGGAAAAGGAATGGTATCATAACGTGCATTTACAGAATTCTGATGCAGAATCATTACAATATTAGATGGCTACAAAATAGCAGCATTCAGCAAGATAATGGATTTGAAATTCAAGGAACCTGCTACAAATTAAATTGATAATGAGAGAAGATGGGAGGGCTGAACATTGCTGTCAGCTATAAACTTACCGCATACAGCAAGACCTGGCCATCATCCATGGTTTTGAAAGACATGGATGTCTCTCGGTGCTGCATTACATGTAAAGAAGATACTCAGGAGAGAAAAGGAGGGAAACAATGGTCAAACAGATGCAACTGTATGGCAACTAGTTTCATTTACCACAACAGATGCTACGCCCGGAAAGAGACCAGAACAAATGATTGCACGAACAAGAGGCTGGTTATGGCTTAGCTTATTATTCGTGCTACCATCTAAATCTATTAATCCTGCCTCCTTTAAAATGAAGCTGAACTGTCTTCTAAGTGAATCAATTGCTTGAAGTGTTTGGACAGAAAGGAAGTTCCTCCAGCAGTACTCATAGGATGACCCTTCTCTTTCTGCATCTTTCCATCCCTCATAAGCACGGACAAGCGCCATATGATCACTGTAATCCTTTGCAGAAAATCTAGCCTTGGCTGTCCCTGCTAACTGAATCATGGAAACA